AAAGCTTCTGAGACAGATTCTCTCCACTGTGTTTAGTTCAGTGCAGTCTTGTATTCATATTAAGATGTTTGATGCTAAAGACATAACACCCAAGTCCATTCACTAGCATTGCTTCTTTTTCTCTTCCTCACCCATGATCTCTTAGTTGCCAACATAAATAATACTCAGGTTACATTAATGTCCTGTGGCTCCAAACTGGGGGAACTTCAGTGCATAAGGTGCTGAGCAAACATGTATGGAGGCATAATCCTGTCAAATATTATCCAGGTCATATGATCTGTAGCTATATTCCTCCCTGCAGAGAACACACTCAGCTTGGCAAATGCCTGGCCTGTTTCTCCATGTGACACTGAATGTCAGTGAGTGACATCTCACAGATGATACTTTATTGGTAGAGCAGGTGTTGGTGGCAAGAACTATATTTATAGAGCAGAGGTCTAAAAATGGGTCTGTGCTTAACAGGTCTCAGTCACTTCCAGATCAGATCTGAGTCTTTCATAAGACCTTTCCCCTCTTCTTTCCCTGCTCACAAACTCTCACCAGAATGATGAAGGGATGCTTCCCAGAGCCCCAGCAGAAGAGCCATGCAAACTGGGATGCAGAACCCATATCCTCCCTAGGAAGGGAGATCTGCATGTCAGAGGAGGTTCCAGATCCACACATTACAGGCTAATCTTTTGTACAGAAAAGAAGGCAAACGCTGTAACATCAGCACTGCAGCAGTTTCTATTTGTCACAGCCCCAGGGTCACAGTGGTGAGCAGCAGACAAATACACCACCATGAACTAAGAACTCTGTGCATTTCTGGCATGTCATCCCCTGTGTGCCAACATGGCACACACAGACCCACTCCTGAGGAAAATGTGAGAGAACCACTCCCAATCTACCTGAAATACTCCTTGGGAGAACACAGTGATTCTGCTTTGTGCCCTAATTCCCTAAAATCAAGAGGAAGCACATGTGTGCAGGGCTTTCTTCAGGATAACTGGACTACCCTGGGGTGGCTTCTCTGCTTGCCCTTGTCCTGACATATTTTCACTCCTGAGCACCCTAAGCTGCAGAAGCAGTTTGCCATGTCAGAGAACAAGGATGTTTCTGAGAGCCAAAGTGGAATTTGGATCTGTCCAAATGACATCCAGCCATCAGCACAATGTCTGCAGTGTTTGAGATTTGATGATTGACCTTAAAACTACATTTTTGTATGAAGGTCTTTATAACTATTATCCAGCACCATTCTCAGAGTTTAAGTATGGGTTTACACAGAGAATAAACTAGACAAGGCACAAAAGCAGTGGAAGCATTTCGGTTTCTGCCCAGGATGAAAGTTTGAATTCTTTCCTGGAAGTAGGCTCCATTTGACCCAGTGGATATGTACTGGGTGAAAGGAAAGGTGATGAGATACTGCTCTGCTGGCCTGAAAAAACAGTGCTTTTTGCCCAACTTTAATTGAAAAACATTGCCAGACCTCAGCCTGTAATATGGTATTCAATTACACCTTCCACATGCTGCTTAGAGTAATCCTAGTCTGAGTGTGGTCCATGGCAAATATGAAGGAGCAAATTTTAAACTTTTGCCTGAAAACCTGTTCATTCCTCAGAAACTAAGCTATTATATTTTAATGATATATATTTTTAAGGAATTATATTGTGTCTGCAGGCCCTGTCAGCATCAACAAAGTCATTCCTGCTGTGGACAACCTATAAAAAGGAAAACACCTCTGTATTTCATTTTGTTTCCATTTGCCACCTCCACTTATAGCTGAGACTCATGAGTGATTGGAATAGTCTCACCAAAATCAGGAGGATGACTCATGGGCTCAGAGGGAGGCACGTGATGGAGGGCTCTACCAAATCACCCTCCAACACCAGATGCTGGAAGACACAGTGTTGGTAGCTGTTGGCAGCTGACCTGAAGAAGTTAAGCTTAGCAGTGAATGGAGCCCCCAGGATCTGCAGCTCAGCTTCCTCTCCTCTCTTTAGCACAAAATATTTTAAAAGAAACTGGGACCAGCAGCTTTTCCCCAGCCAACAAAAATAAAGACAGTTGCAGGGCAGCAAAGTGCAGCATGCCTGCCTAACTCCAGGCTGCTCTGCCAGGGATTCAGAGGGATGGGTGAATGGGTGGATGGATGGATGGATGGATGGATGGATGGATGGATGGATGGATGGATGCAGGGATGGATGCAGGGATGGATGCAGGGATGGATGCAGGGATGGATGGATGCAGGGATGGATGCAGGGATGGATGGATACAGGGATGGGTGAATGGATGGATGGATGGATGGATGGATGGAGGGATGGATGGATGGATGATGAATAGCAATTGAAAGATGGGCACAGAGGCAATAGCAATGTGGCTGAGGTCCAAGCCCAGAGCAAGGAGGCATCCACAAGAACTATTGCAATTGTCAGGAGTGAAGAAACGTAATTCATTGTTTGCAAATGCAGCCTAGGTCTTTAAAATAAAGAAAAGCAAATACCTCAGTTCTGTTAGCTACCTGGCCAGTGTAGGCTGCTCATGGGCCAGATATATAATGCTGATATAAACCCCACAGCTCAGGCAAGATCTGCTGCATGGATTTGATCAAGGACTAGTGCACCTTTAGGAATGTGAGACAACTGGAAACAGATGTTTTCATTCTGTGGTGCTGTAGAAGCAAAAATCCCTTCTGTTTGTCTTCCCTCTGTCTCCTGCAATCTTTGGGTATATTATTAACACTTTTTTTCTTCTCATTTTATTTGTGTGTCTTAAAATATTCCTCCTGTAGACTCCTAAATTGTAGGGAGAAGTAAGAGAGAAAATGCCAGCAGATCAGAGCAAAAAGCCAATCCACTTACAAACCTACCCATCAACTAACTCCTCTCAGAAAACTTCCCTTGTCAGTGGAAATCCCAACCTCACCCACTAAAGCCCTTCCAAAAGCAATGTAGTTGGCACTGTATTCTGTTTGTTTTAACAAATTTAGGCTGTTCCAGACCAAGAAAGATGGTGAAAAAAGCCCTTAGAGCCCTTTGGAGAAAGTGATCCTGTTGGAATTCCTTTAATGTTGTAAAGGGGGACTCAAGAAACAGGGGCTCATTTTAGAGACACTTGGGGTACACTCTTCTGCAGCTTCTGTGACTCTGTCAGTCCACCCCTGAGACAATGAAAAGTCACACAGGATTATTTTGTTTTTAAAGTCATTTATGAGAAAAACACACCCATCTCTGCCACCCCTACAATTTTCTGTTGTGTTTCTCTCTGCTGAACCATCCAGACAAGCACCACAAACCAGCCCCCCCAGCCCTTCCTGCTCTGGTCCTCCTCCTGGGCTGGATGTCAAACACAACACTCTCCAAAGATCATTTCTGCTGACATTCCCAATCTACCTGAAACACTGCTTGGGAGGACACAGTGGCTCTGTTTTGTGCCCTTTTTGCATCTAAATCCCCATAATCACTGGTGAAGATCCACCAGTACTATCAATCTGCTCACATAGCATCCTCTGCTATTCAGGAGGACTAATCATGCCATTCAACCTTTCCTTCACCCAAATTCCTCCTTACTGCTCATTCTGTCACTATCTGTCTCACCAAAACAAAGCAATTAAGGACCATCCTACTGTTTTTACTGTCCTCCTTGTCTCTTCCACCTGGCTGCCTTTTCTTAAGGTTTCTCTTACTCTCAAGTCTAAAATGAGAAAGCTTTGGATTCCTCATAAGCAGTGAACATAAGACTAAAACCATGTTTGTAGTCCCAGAGCTGGGGCTTCTGGTGTCACCAGTCACCTTGCAAGAGCCACACAGGTAGATACATCTCCCCTTCCAAACTGGCTCCCTTTGTGTAATGATTTCCCCACTTTCTGGCTCAAAATATGTGTATGAGTGAGCACATCACTTGTGGGCTTGGATTCCAGGATTATCAGATGCTCTGGCAAGTTGTATCTATTGAATTTTCTTTTTATAAGTTGTGGTGTAAGAGTTTTTCCTGGACAGGAAAAAAAAACCCAACTTCTTATTTGCATTTTTCCCAGTGGAAGGGAAGTCTAGGAAATAGGAGAGGAGGTGATCTCCCTGAGTAGCCCAAACCATATTCATCTTTGTCCTGAGTGAGGTCTGAAATGCAGGAGGGATGTGAAAAGGCCAGAAAGAAGGAGGTAGGCACAAAAATACCAGGTTGAGGCAGAAATCAGGTTTCAGATGTGAAAAATTGGAAAAGATGTGGATGATGAAAAGTTTGTCACCACTCAGGAGGCCACTAACACCACCTAGGTTGAGAAAAGCCACATGTGGGAGCATTTATTAAAGAGATCTTCTGTTAAGAAGAAGCATTATTATGAAGAGTTATAAGATTTTATGGATTCCCACAAAACTCCTGTCTCCATCCCTCTTCTCATGTCACCATAGGAGTCTGATGCCAACATCAGAACATTGTCACAGCTCTGTACACACCAGTTATCCATAGCTCTGACTGGAGCTGTTAGCTCTCTGGAAACTGGGAGAAGAGACCTGTCAGTGCTCCAAAAACCTTTGGAGAGTTAACATCAAGCTTCAAGGTTACAAGAAAACCAGGAAAAAGAAGCCAGTCATCTGTGATTTTGTAGCATAAGTGTCACACGTGAACTCTCCTATTTTCTCATCTGTTTTGGGGTCCCTTTCTATGTCTTTTAAATAAGACAAAAACAAATGTGTTACCATTTTATTCCTTCTTTTCAATGGCTGACAGAGGATTGAGTTAATTTACAGAATAATGAAACGTTTCTTTCTTAGTCATCCTAGGCTAAGCATGAATATCTTACCTTTTTATTATCAAATACCCAGGTACCTCCTTTTGTCACAGAATAAATGAGCAAACAAAAACCTACCTGTTCCCTCTCTCCCCTTTGAATTTCTCTTCAAGCTGGGAGAGGCAAATAATGACCTACTGCAAAAGCTGGAAATAAATTATAGCCAGAATGGTAAAAGCAAAATATTTCTCCTCTAAACATGTTGCTTTTTCCTCTGTATGTCTTGGCAGCCTAACTCTCTGAAAACACCCACCTGAATTCTCTGTGCTCAACAGAGCAGCCCAAGGATAAACCCTCCGGTAAATCCCATGTGACTGAAGATATAGGAGTCTGCCTGTGAGTAAAAACATTTTAAATATGATTGCTATACCTGTAAGTAACCAAAGAGCCCTTTTGGAGCAAATAATTTCCTTGGAAACATCTGAATCCAATCATCTAAGCCTGGGAGCCCAAATTTATGTAATACCGCTGCTTTCCTCTCCTCATTGTCCATACCCTGCCTCAAAAGAAAAGAGTTTACCCTGTCCATCTATCATTTAAATGGTAATGAGCTAAATGAATTCCACCTCACTTCTGAGCTCCAGAGTAAGCTTGGGTTTATTTATTCATTTAAAGGCACAAGAACCCGTTTGACATTGCTGAACGTGTCCCAGATTTATGGAAAATAAAACTGTACTAATCTCACGCGTTTATTAGCTTTTCTGTCAGATGCCTCCATGAGTATTCAGAGATGTGAATTTGCCCTGCAGTTCTGTTCTGACTGGAACAGCATCTCCTGAAATGTAAATGTTATCTTAAGGTCATATGCTGATGAAAACCCCTGTTTTGCCAAAGTCTAATTTCTTGGTCACTTGACAAAGCAGCTGCTGTTCAGTTATATGGCACAAAGAACGCTATTAAAGATGGATAACTTACATGTTTGATTTGGCATATATTATACAGCTTCTACAGACAAAAAAATTACAATGTATGATTATTTTTCCTGATTTAGCTGAGTAAATAAAAGACCTCTCACATATATGTATACAGGGATGATACTTCTAAGTGATTTTTTTCATTTAAACATGGTGTAACTCTCTGAGGGCTTCTGTGATTGCATTTTAAAGGACCAACACAAATATCCTAATGTGTGATATAATTTATTCACCGAATCATAGATTGTTATTGAGACCTGATTCCTGATTTGAAGGAGAATGCAGAGATTAGACAGTTGTAAATGTCATGTGACAGTGAGCTCTGCAGCTGATGTACATTAAGGAAAATAAAAATTGCAAGGTTTTAGGTAATCAACAGCTGGTGTCAGCTGCTACCGTACCACATCAGTGCCTCCAAGGTTGGTAAAGATTTTTTTTAACCATCTGGTAGTTTTCTAGCATTGGTCAATGTCAGAAGGACAATACTGGAGGCTTCTGCTCCTGCTTTGGCAAACCAGGACAAACGCTCACGTGTGCGAGCAGAGAGTTTGGATCAAGAAAGACAACATGACATGTTTTAGGAGATGGTGCTGTCATTCCCAGCCCTTTTAGTGTGTGCAAAAGTGCTGACAGGGAAACCACACTACACAGGGAGGTAAGGTTTGGGTTACACAAAGCTCCATGTCCAGGAAGACCCGGAGCATCCGAGCCCTAGCAGGGTTTGGTCTCCAGGTCTGAGCTCTGAAGAGTCAGTCCTGCAAGCAGAGGTGGGAGCTCAGTGTCTGGTGATGGGTGGGGAAGGAATGTTGCCTGCACAGTGTTTGACCTTCATCTCACAAGAAAAAATGTCAAGTATCCTCAGAAAAATATCAACAGTGTTTTCTCTCACCAAAAAATTGCTCTAGTGCAGGAATACTTGGTCCTTTTGCAACAAAGAATTAAAAAAACCCTGGAGGACTGGGATTTTTCTGGCCTCTTCTCTTCTGTTTTCTTTTCCTTTCTTTTTAATTATGAAGTTCAGAGGGTTCCAAGTGACAAAGATAATTTAGCATTTCAGATAAGACTTTATTTTGCAGGACATACAGCATTCATTAGAACATCAACATTTTCATACCCAGAGAAGTAGGAAAGCTATTTCAATGAAAAATAAGCATGAGCAATAATGAAGCACTCACTTTCAGATAGAAAATTAACTCAGAAAAAAAAAAAGAAACCTCATCAATATTCAGGTCAAAGAATGATATGCTTTTTCTAAAAATTTATCTACTAGTCTGGCTGGGGATATCCCTCTCCTAATTACTGCCAATTTTGACAGGTCACATCACAAGTTTTAGTTTCCAGAGGAAGATCTGGGTTCAGAAAAGCCTTCTGGGTGTATTTTAAAGTGTAAGGGAAGCATCTTGTGTTTAGTGATTGCACCACTCATTTCAGGGGTATGTGATACTCCCAGTCAGCTGCAGACGAGGAAGGATTTCCCTGCTTTGGAACAAATAAGATTTTTTTTCCTAGGGATAGGGTGGGACTTGATCATTCCCTGGTGCAGCAGTTCTTTATCTCAGAAGAGTCCTCCACTATAATGAGAATATACTTCACTTTATGTCTGTCTTATAAAATTTAATTCACATGCTGAGGTTTCCTGCTCTTGCAATTTGCTTCTTTGAATTAACTAAGACACCTCCCTTTGACACATAATTCTTGTGAAACTTGTCAGCTCTGCTTAAAGTAAGTAAGTAACTAAATAAATAAATAAATAAGCAGGCTGGAATTCATTACTGAAATCGAGTAACAGCCCAGCAGAAAATTCAGCAATAAAACATCCACGACGTAAACCATCAATATTTGCAGTAAACCATGAGCTGAGAGAAGTCTTGGTTAAATATCTTCCACTCCTGAAATGCCACATCCTGACTGGCAAAAGCATGGCAAGATACCAGCTGAGCTAAAAGGGAATCCCAGTGTTCCTGCACAGAATCTTGTTCTTGCTTAATGCAATTTCTCCTTGGACAGAGCACATTCTGGAGCTAAAGGTGTGGAAGGGAGAGATCATCCAAGGAGCCTGGTAAAGCAGTGATGTTTATGTGCACCTACTCTGTGTACAAAGGCTTTATGCCTTTATCCCTTGTGGTCCCAAAACATCCACTTAGCATCCAGCTGAGGTCTAGGTGTAAAAAGTGAATGAAAAGGCACTGCTCATCCTGACTGCTCGGACATCACTGCTCTGCCCCTCCTGCATTTACTCTCTGGTTCTGTTCCCATTGCTATGAAGGGCTCTGCTCCTCCTCAGCCCTGAGATGTGGGGACTTTAGGGCCAAAGGATCATCTTGCTTAGAACACCTATGTCACAGGTTATTAAGTTTCACTCAACTGTTCCTGAGATTGATTCCAGTAATTGATGTCCTGTGAAAAATCTCTTCCAGAGAGAGAGATTCAGCCTTGATTTAAAGGAAGGGTGAAACAGAGAGCATGCTGCTTTCCCTAGCAGTTAGTTCTGGCTTGTAATCTTCTTCACTCTAAATCACACTGGCCCTCCCCTGTCTGATGAAAGAACCCTCTTCTAAATGGGTTCCTCTCTCCACACAAATATTTCCCCAGTAGTCAAATTCCATCTCCATCTCCACCTTGGCCATTTGAGTCTGAAAGGTGTCTTATTCTTGGGATTTTATTCTTCTGCCCTTGTCTGGTGCTTTTCTGAGATTTCTCTTTTTTTTTTTTTTTCTTTTTTTAATTATACTGTTGGTTTTTTTTACATTCTTAGTAGAAAGTAAAATCGGATGCATGCAGAATTACCATTTGACTCACACTGAATTTGCACACAGGTGTAGGGCTGCAATAACATTCTATTGAAGGGGGAATATGAATATAAGAAAGAACCATGACTTTTAACATTAAAAGCCCTGAAGAACAGTATTTATAGTGTTCACAGAGCACCTAGAACATGTAAACATTATAGTTCTATAGATGTAGATGCATCTTGGCTCTTCAGACTAATAGCCATTATCGGTAGGAAAATTTATTTTTTTTTTTTTCTGTATTAGTGGGGGCTGTGCCTTCAGGTAAGTTTAGCTGACTAAAGCCAGTAAAAGAGATGAACAGGACTTAGAAGCTGGATATGTCAAAAACACAGAATTTATCAGGATCTTGCATAAGCATACAGAGTGGAATAACCAATGACTAGGTAGATTTCCTTGACTTATGTAGATTTAGAATAATGTTCATCTCTTAGTTGAGTCCTCCTGCCCTGAATTTGTGGTCAGAGAGAGGTTCCTGTCTGCTCCAAGGTCTTTGGTCCCTGGATCACAGGTAAAAGATCCAAATAGGCTCAGCTCCCTAGCATCACCTGCAGCAGTGACCTTAATTCTTTCTATTCTGCATCATCTACATCTTCTAAGAAATATCATTTTACTCACCCATTTAGGAATTCAACACGTCATATTTATATCATGTTCCTAGCTCACTGACTGTACCATTTAGCCAAGATTTTAATTAAAATACTCTCACAATATATCGCTGTGAAGGCATGATTACTTTGGCTTGAGATTCCTAATTCTCATTTCCCAGTTTTTGTCCAGGACACAACAGGCTTTACACAGCAGAGCAGTACTCCTGGCAGGGGACTGGAGGGTAGCCCTCAGACCTAGGTCAGCCACCTCTGCTGGGACAGTCCTCCTGACATCACACCAATCACCCCTCTCCATTTTGGGATCTCTCCATGCCCTGGAAAAATTGGGAATGCTGAGAGTCTCAGCAAGGCATGGAGCTCAGGTTGAGTTACTCACCCACCATGACCTGTCCCATGCAGGCATCCCTCACATTCCCTGCCTGCAGGAAGGTTGCCCCTTTCCCATGTATGAAATTTCATAACTGCCTGATAGTAACAGAATATGCATTCTGCATTCCTGCATGGGCTGCATTGCCTTTGGCTCTGTTAAAACTTGTCTTGCCCAAATAAGCTGAACCTCACCAGTGATCTCCCTCACATGGACCCTGCAGTTATTTATACTTCTACCAATCTTCATCAGCTGCAAATTCTATCAGCAGTGACTTTAAATCTAATCCTGTATTACTAAATGAAAACATCCCATAGCCCCAGGCACATGGTCCTGTGGAGACACTGCTCAGAGTGCCCCCGGCTGCTGATGATTTGTCTGAATTTTCAGACCTGCTCCTCATCCTTTTGTTTATATCACCCTACGAGGCTTCTCCCCCTCCTTTCTTTCCATTGTCTTTTCCTTTGAAAAAGGACAAAAGGGTGGGAAAAAAAAATAGTGATATTCAGAAATGGTTTTTACTACGTGAGCTTGCTGGCAGGTCTGTTAGGAGCAGTGGGTTCTCATCCATGGGAAAGCACATGATTATGCTGAGCCACAAGTAAATTGAAAGGTGGAGGCCATTTCCTATGTTCTGACATAAATACACACACAT